CGCCCTGTCTCCTTTCCATCTCTAGCCTTTCCCTGAGACATTTTAGTCTCTCCCCCTCCTACCGGATTCCCCGTGTGGGCTTATCTCTATTACATTTAATAGAAGTTGATCCGTGTAAACAAATATGTACACTTCTTCGCTGGTGTCAACTTTCCACCACCTCCCACTCGTGTGACGACATCTCGCGTGCCCAACCCCAGATTTCTGCTCTCACATTTTCACCAGAGAGATCTGGTTTAAAGATGGCTCAGGAGAAGGAAAGGGCAGGCTCCAAGAACTGACAATGTATTAACAGAGCATTTCTAGCTTGTAGGATTCTTAGAGTACTCTGAAGCAGAAAAAATAATAGGTGTTAAAGTAAAAAGTGGCTGGGACAAGTCTGTCTTGGAGAAAATAAATTAAGTAGGAAAAACAGGCCTTGAAAATAGACCCTAAGTTGAAGGTAGCAAGGACACTTTTAAAAACTTATTTGGAATCACGACAAATGGGTAGATGAGACCTGGGGTTTTTCCAGGCAAATCCAGTGTAAATAAAATCTGAAACAATGGTTCCTTTACACAATCATTGAAAACAGTATAGTAACTCCATAGGAAAGAATGATGACAAGAATGTTAGCTTTTTAACTCAACATTAGTTAAAAATAAACACATCTATTATTTAGAAAAAGATCTACCTAAGTAATCAAAGTTTTTTAAAGTTTCTGCATTTTTAAAGAGTATTTGTACATTGTATCTTAATATAATTTCATATGAGATTTTAATTATTATCAACTGATGTAAGAAATTTGTGAAGTTTTTACATAATTTTAACTATAATAAGGTTTTGTTCTGTGGAGCAGTTAGAAAAATTAGCAATTTTTAAAAATTCTACATATATTTTAAAAACAATATGTTTTTCCTTGCAAAATAACAAATTTAAGAAACCTCTAAATTGTTAATTACATTATTTACAGGTTTATAGTATATCATCCCCAAAAATGAGAATTCTTTTTTAATGAGTCTAGATATACCTGTCAATCAAAAGCTGCTGTCACCAATGCAATGGCAACAGGAGTCCCAATCTGGAGTTCAGTGAAAGGAGAAACTTTATTCAGGTAAACAGTTTGCAAACCCAAGAAACACAGCCTCCAGTAGAAACCAAAAATGTGTTCCCCGGGGACAAAGGGAAGGCCACAATATAGAGGAATCTTCACTATTTTCCAGTCTATCTCCATATTCTGCTTCTATTTCATTTTTTTAGGTGCACACCATGATCCACTAAGTTGGTTTGGTGACCTATTAATAGATTGCCACCCTGAGAAACACTAATCAGAATCCAAAATATAAAGATCAGATTGTATCACATGTAATTAGGGTAATTTTTTCCAAAACACAAATTTTGGGGAACTAGTGTTTTAATAATGTATGCATAGGCTAGGTTGCTATATTAATATATTTCTAAGCTGGATCTCAATAAAAAAATGAATACTATTATTACCTCCCCTTCCCTGACTTCTATGCATATTTCATTTTTCAGAATCAAAACCAAGAGAAACCAAATTCCACTTACAAGCTCCTCACATCCCTCTCAGCTCCAGGATCTGATCTAAGACATGTCTTCCCAAATAATCAACAAAATAATCAGGTCACTCCTATATCCAGAAAGGCTCTTGTCTCCAGCGCAAACCCAATAGTGTACTAATACCCTAATATAATAAACATCCATAAAACAAGATTATGAAAAATAAAAAGAGGTTGTTCTGAGAAAGGAGCAGAGATAGGGAGCTTGGTGGAAAGAAGACCTGGGACAGAGATTGGAGAGCTACAGAGGGATGTATGTTTAATGATATACATGCACACTCATACACATGTCGGCTGTTACATGGTTTGCAAAATATTTCAATCTCGTCTTATCACTTCTCTGCCCTCATTCTGTTATGCAGCTTATTCTCTCCACCCTTTTGGTCTCTACTCCACAGGAACTTCCTCAGAGAAGCTTTCTCTAGTTTTCCTTTTCTCTCAGCCTCGAAAATTATTTTAATTTCCGCCTCTGCTAGACTGTACGCTCTGTGAGAGTAGGGACAATGCTCATCTTGTTCAACCTTAAATCCTCTACTCGTAGGTGAGTACCCAATCCTAAGCAGGTACCCAGTATATATGTGTGGAGGCATGAGTGGATGAATGAACTCAAATTCAAAGACCAGCTAGGTTTCTTACTCAAAATACTAGTTAATTTCTAAAAAGGGGGTGGGGGGACATTGTGTTAATTGAAATAATACTGAGAAGAAAATCTTTTAGGAGGAAAAACATTTTGAATGACAATGCAGCAAAACACTGAAAGGGTCAATTCTGTTATTAACTGGCTACTTTTGTGCACTTCCAGTAACTTCTCCAAACCTCAAAGGGGGTTAGGCTCACCAAATGTTATTTGTAGTAAATGTCCTAATAGAGTGTTACCCCTTTGGGGAACTCTGGGAAATCAGGAGAGACCACCTGGAGCCTTATTTGCATGAAGTCCCCTGAAAGAACCTGACAGTACTGGGTTCAATTAATCCTCTTAAATCAAAGATGTCAGATAAAAGCTTCTCCCAACATGAAGAGGGTGGGATGTGGGAGTGAGGAGGGAAATGGAAGACAAGTAACTAGTATCATTGCTCTGAGGAGCCAAGTTCATAATTGAGTACAGGGCCAGGTGCATGCTTTTGAGTATAAATCTGAAAAAAAATCAAGCTGACTTTGTGGTTGTGTTGGACTGGAGGGGAGGGGAGGAAAGTCCAGGAGAAAGAAGAGGGTGTCAAAAAAGATAATTTCCCAAGGAAAAATCCCTCACCTACTACAGCACAGCAGACAGAAAGAATGTTTCCAAAACAGGCCTCTAGGTGTTTGTGCCTGTTCTCTCTCCTTGGATTCTGTTTTCTCCCTTATCTCTTGGAAAAGACCTAGTCTTTCTTCAAGTTTAAGTTCTATCATTAATACCTCTGCTAATAATAGCAAACCTTTCTTGAGCACTTACTTAGATCAAAAGCACTGCTGAGCACTGTTTGAAATCTTTATTTAAGCTTCAAACAATTTTTTTCTTAGAGATACAAGAAATAATGGTGTATCTTTTAATTGATGGCATCTCTGATTTAATAACAAATAGTATATTGTATTATAATTGTTTATACTTCTTTCTCCCCCCACTAAACTATGAACTCTTTGAAAACAGAGACTGGTTTACTCAATTTTGTGTCCTTAGCACCTAAAACAGTTTCTGGCACATAAAAAGCATTTGACAAATTTCTTTAATTCAGTTGAAAAAGAAATGCCATCTTCCTGACAGGGTGACAGGTAGGTGCAATCTCAGAGACAAAGTCATCCCTGTGTCAACAAAAACCGTTGTTTATCCCCAAGGCCTGTTGGCCTGGGCAAACAAAGTCACAACTTCTCTGCGTTTCATTCCAGATAAGTGCTGTCTAACTCGAAAAGTATATGGTAGTCCTCCAACATGTCATTTGCTCTATTTAACAAATTGTCATTTATTATGTTTCCTTTACGTTGGGTTCAGGTGATTTTTAATCAATGAGAACAGTTATATTAAAGCCAAATTAAAGTAATTCTTTAAAATCTGATTTTGCAAACTCAGATCCAATTACATTTAGACTATAAACTGAAAATGGTACTCAGCTCATAGAGATGTTTGATTTGGTGTGCATTGTGTTTTTAAATTTTTTAATTGACCATTAGAAGATAACACATTTAAAAAGCAAGTATTTTGGCTTCTTTTTAAAAAATCAGAAACTCTGATGATATTGGCCCCCGTTCACTCAAGGCATTCTTTTTTGGAAGGAACCATTACCTGGTTCAGAGGCAATGTTCCCTATTTTCTCACAACCCCACATGTGACTATGTAACTTGGCCCCTTTAGGCACTAGAGTTTATGGTGGATCTTGAAGTGAAGGGCTTGCTTGATTATATAAGTCTCTAACTTAATAAGGGATATAAAATCTGTGAAATGAACAGCTTTGCCCGGAAATTCAGTAATGCTCTACGTGAATAATTTTCAATAATCACATTTGCTTCTACAAATAGATTTTTCACAATTTTTATATCTGTCTTCTAGAGAAGAAATGTTTTTATGCATTAGGGATTTTCCTATAAGGTATATTGCTTTTTTGGTATTTAAACCAAAGGAAAAATACTTAAGAAAAGTTGAAGAGCAAAATAGAAGATTGGGTTCACAGTGTTGCCCAATATATGCGACTGCTGTATTGGATGCATTTGAAGAACACACACTCTTATCCAGGTGGTAATCAGTTACTTTTAAGTTACACCTAAAAGCAAGCTCTGAACTTATATAGAACAAGCATATTTAATTACTCTATTATTTTGGTGAGATTTTTTTAACCAGTCATACAGTAGTTACTGCTATTGACATTAGCATTAGATTTGGTTACAAGTGACAAGAAAACACCCCAGGAACAGGCTTTAACAAGATTGAAGTTTATTTATTTTATGTCTGAAAATGTCTGGATGTAGGTGATCCAGGGCCATTTTGCCGTAGTGGTGTCAGGGACTCAGGCTCTTTCCATCTTGTTGCTTAGTCATGCATGACCTCCATTTCCAAAGTCACCTCATAGTCCAAGAAGGCAGCCTAGCTCCAGCAATCCCCAGAGTGCAGGAGAGAGAAAGGCCAGAATATTCTGCGTCTAGTACTCCTTAAATCCCACTTTTCCCAAGAAACTTTCTTCAGCTAATTAAGAGACGACTGATAATTTATCTTCTATATTCACTTAAAACCTACTAACACCAGACTTCAATCATTTAAATATTTTAAAATGTACTTATGGCTCAGCCAGTGTGTCTCAGTGGTTGAGTGTTGACCCAGGAAACAAGAGGTCACCTGTTGGATTCCTTGGTCAGGGCACATGCC